CGCCCACTCTCTTCAACATTTCTTCGGCGACCGCAACTCCTCAAGTTCAAACAGTTTCAACTTTTCTCAAGCGACATTGACCCTGGCAACTCAACCTTTTCTCTCCGGCATACAACCATAAAGCCCCCTTCTCTATATCTAAATTATATACTACGATTATGTTATGTTCATGTAAATTCGTGAATTTTAGTTGCTTGTTTGACTAATTTCTTGAATTAATTTTGTACTCTGGTTATGTTAAACTAAATTTATGTTTTGAGTTGCTTGTTTTTGTTAATAATACTGTATAATTAAGTGGTTATATTGAATCAAATGCATGTGTTAACTATATTATTTTTTTTTTGACAAATTTAGTAAAATATGAAGTATCCGTTTATGACCCGTTTTGGACCCGGATCCGTAGGATCCAACGAATATGGATATGGATCCCTAGTTTTCATACCCAACGGATCCGGATCGGATCTGGATCCAGGTTACAAAAACGGATCTGGATATGGATTCATTTGGATCCGATCCAAATCCGACCCGCTACCATCTCTACCACCATACCCTTTATTTATTTATTTATTTATTTAAAAAGCCCCTTCTTCACCACCAGTGGTGGATCTAGAGGGTACATTGAGTTACAGTTGTACCCCCATTCCGCGAGAAAAAAAAAAAAAAAAGAGAACGCCTGTATCTAATAGGCAGTCTCTTAGGTACTGTTATGAAGGTTGTGGCAACACCGTAATTAGCGGCGTTCAGCGTGCCTTTTTGTATTAAATTCTAAGAGACCGCCTATTTTAAAAACCGGTCTCTTAGGTGATACATTTTCCACACAAGTGCTTTTGAACAAAGAGACCAACTGTTACAATAACAGGTCTCTTAGGTGATATTGTTTGTTTTCCAGCAGTAGATTTGTACTTTTGATCAAAGAGACATATTATTATCGTAACAGGTTTATTAGATAATCTCTTTTTATTTACTCAATTATAAGCCTTGTTGGCGGAAGATAGGGAGTATAGACGTATAATACACGCAAAAACTAATACTTAGTACAATAGTTAAATGGTTTATCAACTCAAAAATTAGTTAATAAAAAATTATTACACTCCACATATTACTTTGTATTTTGTAAATTTTTTTAATTAAACTTAATTTCGTACCCCCATTTTTCGAATCCTGGATCTACCACTGTTCACCACCACCACTGAAATAGAGGAACAAGAGGAGAGAAAATAACGTTCTAGTAACCACCGTGCATACATGAGCATTTATAAAAAAAATTGAAAAATTAAAGGTCGAATTAAGTTGTGGTGGTTGTAGATCGTACATACCACCACCAAAATAAACACAAGAAATTCGACCTTTACCCGATCAAAGAAATTGAGATCCAAATACCCATACTACAATCGCCTTTACCCGATCAACATTTCAAAAATTGAGATCCAAATACCCATACATGTAGTTTTGTTTTAGATATGGAATTGGCAGCCAAATTTGACACCGTAGCCTCGATTGTGGACTTTTAGTAAACTTTGAGTACGTCGATGGTGGTGGACACGGGCGGAGGTGATGAGAGAGAGTATGATGGGAGAAGGGAGGAGGCTATTGTCAGTGAAGAGGAGAGATAGGGCGGTGATTGATATTTATAAAAAAAAAAAAAAAAAAAAAAAAAAAAAAAAAAAAAAGAAAAAAAGTGAGGTGGTGGTTGTGGTGGCTGCCACAGTTAAAAGTGGAGGAGGGAGGGAGGATGTGATGGTGGCCGGTAATCAATTAACTATGGGGATTGACTGAGGTGAGGAAGGGGGAAAGATTAAAGGGTATAGTATAGCATAGTATTATATTGAAATAGTTCTATGGGTAAATAAGTAAAAGTATAGTGTTATATTTGCTATAAAAGAAAACACGTCAAGTAAAAAGAAACTTCACAAAAAGGAATATAGGTCAAGTACTATAGAATGGAAGAAGTATATACTAAGGAATTACTCGCCTGCATAATGACTACATTTGTTATTTATGAACAGGAACTTGGAGACTACTTTTTAGAGGAGTATATGAGTGAACATTTGATGAATACATTCACTTTTATACTACATGTTCCTGAGATAGAAAATGATGATATCATAGTTGTATCTGTTTTACAAGTAAGATGGGAGGAAGAATTCTACTATCTGAAACGAGAGATGCGTGGACAATCTAATTGAATACTTAGATTCATTCATCATAATATTTAAAGACTTTAATATTTTTATTTTTTTTTATATATGAATTCAACACTTGGTTTTTTTTTTTTTAATTTGTTATCAGATTTTTTTTTTCTTTTTTTTGGTTTTTGTTGTCATTATTTTTGGTTTAATTAAATACTATATGCATCTACATACTTTGTATTTTTTTAATCCTATCCTTAATTATATCCCGTGCATTAGCACACAGGCACATTCTACTAATAATAAAAAGATAGTTATTTTTGCCAAAATAAAAGAAGTATAACACTTATTAAAACACGGTCATATTTGGTAAGTGTAACACTTATCAAAACACGGAGATAGTACTATATTTTATCAATTTTCTCTCTTACTTTAAACCCCGCAAAACTTATTTTATCATTTCTCTCTCTTCCATAGTCCCTAATAAAATAATAAAAATATTTATCCTCACATATTTTATCTTTCGTGGTCCCCATCTTACTTTTATTATAATAATTTATTCACCCACTTACAATATTATATTACTTTCCTAAAACTTTGTACAATCCAAAATGATGAAAAAAAAAGGAAAGAATAATAAATAAATAAATAAATAAATAAAGGTGAACCAAGCATGGCCTCACAAAAGTGTCACAAACTCATAATGAAGCAAATTTAGTTTGCCACCTACAAGATTTTGCATTTAAGTGTCAACATTATAAGATTAATAACTACCCCTTTTTCTACCAAAAAAAAAGGGCAGTACAATCGTGCAAGCAATAATAAACTATGAGCACATGGCGCCAGATAATATGCTATGTCCTGGAATATGCTGCCAGAGTACATGAATAGTGACAAAGTACTTGGAATGGTAAATGACTAAATGAGTGATGAAAATCATCCACCAAGTGCATTAGCATATATTCCTCAATCCTCCATCAATGCTACTCCTACATACAACTAATTCACAGGAAGTAACCATCACAATTAACCACTTGAACCACTAGACTGAAAATTCAAGTTTGAATACAAGAAGCTCTAGCAAGGCAAATTAGCCTCACCACATTGCTTTCAGTCGTACTTTTTTTTTTGTCATTGCTTTTGCAAGGAACTTTACCCTTCATACCATAACATCTAAATATAACAGTATAAAGTTTTCACCCATCTGCACCGTCTAATTCATAATGCAGTTGTTTTACAGTAGATTCATAATCACAAATATAGATAGCTAACTAATACCAGTCGACAGAATATTAAAACCAACTCCGTTCACACAAGTAGGAGGATAATCTGACCTTATGATAATGAAATACTTCGTCATACTTTTATTCAGGTACTTATATCAGACTCCATCCATGAAGCACATGGGTGAATCCATGGATATGCTTGAAGGATTAAGTTTAATAAGGGGATGAATAAACATTATGACAAAGTTAACTGTTCAACAAAAGGAAAACGTTATTGTAAATGATTTGTACAGAAAACTTCTCACTAGACTGTCATTCACACCATTACAGTTGCCGGCTGCCTTTTGTCACATATAATTTATGGGTTTAAGGGCGGACTAATCACCCTTTCAAAACTAACATCAAAACAACATTGAAACTTCAGATGGTATTCTAACCATGGTGTAAAAACAAGGCCGAGGTGTCTTGGTTGGGCCGTTTTGTAATGGATTTCAATTGACCGAACCGAAATTGTCCGTATTAACAAGGGATGTTAAAAAATACCCGCGATTTTGTCCAAATCAAACACTCCAACCCCAAATCACCTCTTATTGAGGGTTACATCTATTGTTTCACTCAAAAGTTACTTCCTATTACGTAGTAAAAGATATAATGAAAGATTTCTTCATATCTCCCTACTAATGGCTCTAATCCTTTACTATTCTACCATATCTCTCCATTGATGGCTCTTATCCTCTACTATCTTGAAATTAAATTTGCATCGCAATAAAAGTGACACGGTCTGCGATCATACCCGTTCCCATGATAGTAACTGAAACCGCATTTTCAAACCATGATTGTTACTCTTTCTAGCAGCCTGAATATCATATGTTTCAATAACCCTTAAATTAGATGGAGAATTGTGACCTAGAGAAAGTAAACTCAGGTCTCGGATAGGGAGACGCCACTGCCACTGAATCAAATTTCCAATTGCTACAATCAGCCTATGAGCACTTGAAGGGGGTAAGAGGCTACCCTCTGCAAGATTTCATGGCAAGTAGAGATCAAGTTGTACAATTCAGACAAACTAATTCACCCATAATTTGGGACACAGTCTGCTTCCAATTCTAGTCATTTAACAAAGGCAAAAAACGCAACTCATAAAATCAAATCCAAAACCCGAAATTCAAGTTCCAGAGCTATACTAGTTAAGAAATTCAACACTAATGTTACAATAAGGCAACATAAGAAGATAAACTAAACACATGATGACATGATGAAATAATTCACCATATTTTCACTGTCACATGAGAAAAATCAAAATTGAAATCCAATTATAACACCAATCTTGAAAAACCCAATCAAGAATTGTTTTCAGCATCAACTAAATCAACACTCAAACATCACATTTAATAAAAATCAATCATGTATCATAGAACAAAATTGGGATTCACACCTCAAAACTCATACAAAAATATAACCAGAGTAAAATTTCCAAATTATCTTGCTAAAAACAGAATTTAGAAATATAAATAAAATAGAAAAAACCATGGCAACTAACATCAAAATTTAGCAAATAACTAGATTACTACTATCCAATAGTAACCATTTAAATTCTCAACCTAAAACAAGTTATCTCATCAATATTCTATATTTATACCTGCCTCTACTTCTGCCTAATGTAGCACACCACGGCCGCGGCGACGATGACACCAGCAGAAACAGCACCAATAGCAGGCAATAGATTCTTGAATCCTGCAAATCCATCATCAGAAACTTCTCTTTCTGCAACTTTATCCATTAATCCATCAATTAATTTTTCAGATTCATCCGATTTCTTCGCCAAATCATCCAGTTTCTCCTCCAATTGATTCACCTTAGCTTCGGAAATCCTCAACGAAGCCTGAAGCTGTTCAACGGAATTCTCAACCTCCTTCTTTTCGATCAAAAGTGCAGCAATTTCATTCTCTTTCGCCTGTTTCTCTCTCTTCGCCTTCTCTTCAATCTCCTTGATCTTCGTCTTCAGCTCCTGAGCTTCACGGCTCGACTCGGCACCTTCGTTCATGGAGGTGATGTAATCATGCTCAAGACGCGACACTTGAATTTCAAGCTCCGACGCTCTCTTAGCAATGGATTCCGCCGCCCTACGATTCGACTCCGACTCGGCGTTTTCAGCCTTCAGTGACTCGATCTGAGCTTGTAAATCACCGATTTTAGCCTCCGATTTCGACTTTTCTGTTTCCAAATCGGATTTCTCCTTCTCCAAAGCTTCGATCCTCTGATTAAGGTCGTCAATGGAGGGGGTGGAGGTTGACTTCTGGGAAGAATGATCAGGTTCGTTGAGATCAGCGGTGTCGCCATTGACGCCATTAGAGAGAGCTTCGTTGTCCGCCATTGATGAAGGTTGTTTGGAGTTAGGGTGATTTAAGGAGGAAAGTAGGGTTTTAGAAATGAAAGAAAATGAAATGTGCAAGTTTTAGGGGAAATTGTGAGATAAACAGAGAATGTTTATGTGAGTGGTGTGAAATGAGGAGAATAAAGGGTGGATGAAATGACGTCGTTTTCATTGAGTTTTGTTTTTGCGTTTTTTTTAATTTTCGTAGTGCGCAAGACATGTTGTCTGGGCTTGTAATTTTTTTTTTGTTTGGGTTAAGGCCTTAAGAATGTCTGAGTATTCTCATTAAAGCTGAAATCTAATACTTCCTCCGTTTTTCTTTTATTTCACCATTAGATTAGATTAGGCTCGTACAATACACAAATTTAACAATAATTTATGATTTTAACAATATCTTTTAGCTTATTTGCGTGTAATACGTATGTAGTAGAAATAATTTAAAAATATATAATAAATTGATAAATTAATAAAGAGTGGACACCCCAATTCATATAATCTGTATAAAATATCTGGAGTAGGAAAAAAAATACTCCGTAATGTTTATAAGAAAATGAAATAGTCCGACCTTCCTTTAACTCTCCAATGGAATTTGCATAATTAGTCAATTCAAATATAAAATCTATTAGAAAAATATAAAATTAATTTAGCATTTTCAAATTTTTATTTATGTTGATAAAAAAAATTAATGATGTCATTATTAGTTTTGGAGGGATATACAAGAAGTTGACATGTAAAAAGTAATGACATCAACAGTAATTACTTTTTTAGTTATATTTATAGATAAGGACTTTTTTACTATTCACTTAATCTTCTTTGACTATCTTTTGTAATTTATCCATTAGGAAAAATATAGTCATGTGGGATCTAGTTAGATTCGTCTCAAAATCTACTTTTCAAATATCAATTTTTCATAATTTTTACAAAAGTATAATTAAAGATATTAATAGCCAAAGTAATGCATTGACAAACGTGAAACCCCTTATTGTGCAATAAAAAAAGAACGGAGGAAGAATATAATTATAGAGACACTTTTCACGAGAATCCTCCAAATCCCCAATACTACACTCTCATTTACTCCCGCCTTTTTCACTGATTTAAATTTTTTTTTACACAAGTAGTTTACATACAATTCACCATCCACTAACTACTCTCTAAAAATATTAGCCTTATCTTAATCTATTTCTAATCTCATTTAAAAAAAAAAAAAAAAAAAAAAAAAAAAAAAAAAAAAAAAACCCACTAAACGTGCTAATCAGTTGTAAAACTCCACACCTCCACCTTCATTTTCACTCCTCATAATATACCAAACTTAAGATTACTACTACACTTATCAGTACTCATACTTCATATCAAAACAATCTAAACAAAGACAAAATCAAACTTGGCGATATAGTAGATTATTGTATTGGGTATCTTCGGTTTCTGATTCGGTAAGCAATCAATTTTCACTTATAATCTTATACAGATTATTATGAGGACTCCCAGTTTAGTATATGATTATAAACTTTTACTTTTTAAGCTGTTTGAATATAACGAATGTTATCAACGTATGATTATAATGAATGGTATCAATGTACTGATTATATTTATATCTTTAAAATTTTATTTTTCAGAGCAATAATGTTTTTTTTTTTTTTTTTTTTTGACAGGAAGCAATAATGTTGGTTTGATCTTTACCAAGTACAGTGCTTTTGGAAATACAAGGTTTTGCTTTTATCGGTTGGTTTGATCTTTACCAAGTAGGGTGCTTTTGGGAATACAAGGTTTTGCTTTTATCAGATACATAATTAATTTTTACTATATTAATACTGTGAGTTGAATACTGTGAGTTGGAAACTGAATAAGGAATGTGCCATCATATTATGTAATTAGATTGGTTATAATTTCTTATGTGTGAATATATAAATTCTGCACTTCTGCATATGTACATGTAAAAGGATTGAAAGATATTGATCAAGTTATAAAATTTGATTAAAAAAATTAACGTTGCAAGGTTTTCAGTACTTTTGATTATTGGTTATGGATGATTATTTATTGTATTTGTCTACTGTATAGAGTATATAAAAGATTACAATTAAATCTTAATCAACCATCCAAATTCTCTCAATTATATCTTAAAAAGTTCTAATTTAATCTCTGTTACTAATAATGATTAATATTTAAAAAAAAATACACTGAATTAAAAGGTTTAATTTATCTCTTTCAAAAAAAAAAAAAAAATCAATTCTAATTTCTAATCCCCTACTCACTACGAAAGAGAATTGATACAAGAAATGGGTACACCATTAGTAACTTCAATTCTTCACCTAATCAATATAATTCTAATAGAAATAAATTGAGGAATATAAAATTATAAAAATAATATATTCTGAACTAAAATATAAACTAAGGCTTTTTTTTTTTGACAGAAAACTAAGGATTATAGCTTGCAAAGTATACCGAGTATTATTATTGGCAAAGTATGAAGGCACTACCTTATATAAATTTCAGCAACATCAAAATCAACTTTCCATATTTTAAATATATTTTTTCTTATATATCCCGTGCATTTTGCACGGGGACACTCTAGTCTTTGATATAATTTAAGAGACGTTTTCACGAGAACCCTCCAAATTCCCAATACTACACTCTCATAGTCTCATTCACTCCCGCCTTTTTCATTAATTTATATTAAAAAAACAAAGAGGATTACACACGTAGTTTACATACAATTCGCCATCCACTAACTGCTCTCTAAAAATATCATTTGAGGCAGTAGATCGACATTTCAAGGACATTCCTAATGACAATAGATTTTTTAGAGGTAAATTATTGGTTGTTGTGGAGACTTTAGATAGATACTTCCTGTGGAGCCAAATGAAGGACGAGAATCTATTGTTGCAACCACCTTGCATCGAGCGTCCTTTTGAAGAGAGTGCCAAGTTATGTGCCTAAGGATAAACATGCGTTTATGTCGAAGTGAAGTTCCTTTTGATACTCTTGAACAAATTCGAGAATTTGTTGATTGGATAATAAAGGTTAGAGAATGAAATATAGCAGGAGTGCCCATTACAGATAAGGGGACCCAAATTGGATTGAAATGCCACGTTATTTTTTTATAAACGATGATGAACATGGTTTGCAAAATCTCATTAACTTTGTCTACCCCAACTTGCCTTCAGATTACACGGATTGGGAGTACCTGAAGGATCGAGGAATTCTAGCACCAACAAACAATGATGTAAATGAGTTAAATTCGAAAATTTTATCAATGCTACCAGGAAACGTGAAGAGTTTTTATAGTTAAGATACTTTGGGTCATACGGGAGATGGTGGGTTTCATGATAACATGGAGCCTATGGAATTATTACACTCATTAAATTTGTCAGGTCTTCCTAATCATTGCTTAGAGTTGAAAGTTGGTGCCCCTGTAATATTGATGCGAAATATATGAACCTATCCATAGGGTTGTTCAATGGAACACGCCTTATATATAATCAAGAAGTTAGGTTATAGGGTGATTGAAGCACAAGTGATCATGGGTCCAAGAGCTACAGAATCAGTTCTACTTCTGCGAATTGATTTAACGCCTTCCAACAAGAAGATATATCTCCCTCTTAAAAGAAGGCAATTTCCATTAAAATTAGCCTTTGCCATGACAATAAATAAAAGCCAAGGACAAACGTTGAGCAAAGTTGCCATTTTTCTCCCTAGGCCCGTATTTATATGTTGCAATGTCACGAGTTACATCTCCTTCCGGGCTAAAAATCTTAGTACAAAATAAGAAGGGTGTTTCTCACAGTTTGACTAAAAACATTGTGTATAAGGAAGTATTAAACAGTGTAAATTAGCTATGTATGTAGTTTTGTTATAACATTTATTTAGTAACTCTTAACAATGTTTAATTTAGTATAACTTAAAAGCTATAACCCAACAATGAAATAAATCTTTAATAAAGTAAAATGGAAGCATTATATATATATATATATATATATATATATATATATATATATATATATATATATATATATATATATATATATATATATATATAGTGTTGGTGCACGCGCGCGATGCGCACGCAACATCTTGTTTATCGGAATAGGTAAATCAACAAGTTGAATGGTTTGACAATATTATAGAACAACACTTTAATTTGGTGAATGTGTTTATTTTCCTATTGGAAAACATTTAGGATGTAAGTAGGGTCATCAATTTGTTGAGTTATGATAGGATGTAAGTAGGTCATCAATTTGTTGAGTTGTGTGTTAGTTTAATAGTGGGGTAAATCAACTCTGAATTGCACAAGTCGAATGTTTTGACAATATTATAGAACAACGCTTTAATTTGGTGAATGTGTATAATTTCCTTTTAAAAAACATTTAGGATGTAAGTAGGTGTAGGGAATATTTCAAGCGTTAATCCCCTAGCTTGAACCCCACTGTGATCATACACTAAAGTACGGTGGGGTCCAAAGGGAAGAAGATAGAGCAAAAGAGTCGCCAACAAGTTTTTTTAGGAACTTGTAAACCGTTCACGAGGTAAAGGTTACACCCCTTAACGATCCAAAAGATCGTCAACTCCATAAGGTCTTGAACCAAATAGGGTTCGGGGATGAAGGTAAAAATCCAACCTAAAAGAGATTGAACCTGCCCTAATAATAGGCCTCTACTTTATTCAAATCGTATTCATGTGCGCTTTCTGACTAACATAAAATCAATAGTTTAACCCTAAACCTATTTATCTATGTCGGTTGAATATTAATGCAAAAATAAACTATTATTGGCGATCACTTGAATTATAATTAAATTAACCTTAAACAAGATTATTAATTATCTTATTAAGCGTGATTACAAGTATAAATTTCCTTTAAACATGCATAAAAGGTGTGATCAAGCAATAACAATAAATATCAAGCAACATAATATATAATCAATAAACAAAATAATAATTATAATCATAAATAAAAATAATCATAATCATAATTAATAATCATAAATCATGTTAAAGCATAATAATAG